AGAAGCCCTATGAAATGCAAATTAATCATAAATCAGTAGAAGTCTGACTTAGCATTCATTCTAATCAAATATTTATGAAAAACTAAGCAGTCATTTGTGTGCTTTGTGTCTAATAATGATATCAAGATGAAAAAAGCGTTGCACATCTAAACTGTAACATTTACTTGGTTATATTATTATTGGAACAGTACGACATCTAGTCGAACATAGAACAGGGCCGTGAAGGCAAATGACATGCAGACTAAAAGAACCAGGAAAATGCACACATTTGGGCTTATCAATAGCAGACATAACAGGTTGCGGATTCAGTTTTAACGGAGGTGAAAGAACAGACAGACGTCGACCGGCCGGCAGATAAAAGATCTGGACAGATGGGAAATATATTAGTCATAGGCTCCTCGAGATGTGTGGCCAAATAAAGATTAACATCATCGCACTAAACAGTCTTGTATAAAGCGCAGTCAAAAATATAAGCTGGCAAATAATAGAGGAGCACAGAGGGATGGGGCATAAAGGCATTGGACGAGGGGGACTGGTGGTAGGTGCCAAGATAATGGCCTGGTCTGAAAACCTGCCCAAAATTGCTTTGTCAATAGCCGAAGCAGATTCGCCTAGCCCAGTTCTTCCAGATAGGGCATCATCATGCACCAGCGATACTCTAATTGGAGGGCTTAGTGGAATGAATTGAACGTTAATGCTTCAAAGGATTTTCGACTCAGTTCGGGTTATGCTGTTGCTGTCACGAACAAGTCCAGGGCTGGAGTAGTGGCAGATGAAGCCACAGAAGAGACTGAGGAGCTTGCATTGGCCACCACCTGTGCAAGGGGATGAGAAACGATTTGTTGCTGGGGTTGCTGCTGGAGTTGTTGCCGTTGCTGCTGCAGCGGCGGCGATGATTGCTTTTGGGCGCTGGATATCTGAGGCCCTGGAATCTTCATGGAAGATGTGTTCGCGCCAGGCTGTCTGCGATATGCAAATTGATGATACTGGTGACCTTGTTGCGGGTAATAATGACTATTGTATC